TGGCGGCGGCTGAGCCACCAGAGCCTCTGCCTGTTCCTCTGCCTGCTGTGGGCCGCGCTCCGGACCACCCTCTGCTCCGCCGCCTTCTCGCCCGGCGGCGCCCTGGCCCTGCTGCGGCCGCCCGCCCGCCTGCACTTCTTCCCGCACTGGCTGCTGTACTGCCTGCCCTCCTGCCTGCAGTTCTCCACGCTCTGCCTCCTCAACCTCTACCTGGCGGAGGTAAGGAGGGGAGAAGAGGGCGGGGGGGCTCCCGCCGAGGACCGGGGGTCGCGGGGGGCGGCGGACTGGCGCCTGGCCTGGGGACATCGAGGCCGCCTGGAGCGTGCGCCCCGGCTTTCGCCCTGAACTTGAGCGGCGCGGGGCGGGGACCGAGTGCGAGTGCGGTTTCAACTCGGAGCAGCCGCGCAGCCCTTTGTCCCGACCCCGGCCCTCGGGGCAGGGCGGCGGCGGCCTCGCACCGAATGGCTAGTCCCCCGGGGGGCGGCCCGAGGCCCGGCTGAGTCCGGCGAGGGAGCTGGAGGCCGAGGGGCCACGGCTCCGCCGGCCTGGACGGCCGCCAGCCATTACGTCACCAGGCCGAGCTGCGCCCCCGCTATTGTTGCTGCGTGTCTTTTCTTAGAAGCCTGTCTTGCCCCTGCCTCGCCCTCCCGGGGGGCTCCGGTGGCCTCGTCTGCCGCCGTCCGAGAGCTCCCCGGCGGGGCTGATAATCGGTGGTCCGGGCTCGGGATCAGCGTAAGGACCTCCGCGAAGCCCTTGGTTTTGCCCCCGTCGCTTCGTGCTGTTGGCGAGCTCGCCTGCCTCCTGGAGAGCACAGTCCTTGCTGGAGCTCATTAAGGGTGGGGGAAATCTCACTAGCCTAGCCGGTGTCTATTGCAGAAACAGACCACCCAACTGTTTTTGCGAGAACTTGCTTGATATCTGGGACCCAATCACCCCCTTCCTCTCTCGCGTGGACTTGCTGGCCAGGGTGCATTGTTCTGCAGGGCTTAGGTATGTGACCCATTTCAAACAGGTTTCGGAGTGTAAGGCTGTCAGTCATGTGCGTCAGCTTGTGGTCTTTAAGACACGTATTTTAAGAATTGCCCCCCAAAAAGTCCTCCTTCCCCTCCCCAAAAGAAAAACTTGGGGAGGGGAGGAAACAAGGTGACATCATATACTTAATACTGACTAATATGGAACAATATTGGTCTATGCAGCTAATCCTCTCAAAGCCTTCTGGAGGTGAGAATTAATGTAGTTCCCAGGAAAAGTAAGAAAAAACAAAAAACTTGAGGCAGATTAAGTGTTTATATTTCTGCATAAACCAACTCTTTTCTTCTTTAAAAAGTAGGAAATTGAATGCCTCATTTTAAAATCACGCCATGATAACTTCAGCTGTTTAGCACCCTGAAAGCAATAATTGAAAACAAGAAAACGAATTTGACTTTAATTCTTTTTCTTCGCCATCCTGTGAAAGCCTAAGCTGTACAATGACAAAAATCCCAAACAGTAAGAAGCAGAAATACAAAGCATGGTAATCATAAATCAAATAGTCATGCCATAGTCACGTCACCTATTTGAGGACGTTCTCAACTTCTGGTTGTTTAAGCTGTTATAATACTTCTTATTGTTAAACTGAGAGAGTGTATTCCACTCGCCATGATTTCTGATAAATTTCTGATTGTTCATCACAGCAGCCTTACTCTAGCTTCAGGTACAGTTAATTTACCTGAAAATGACTAACAATCCTTATGCCGTGAGCATGAGGTAGCTTGTTTTTTCCTGTACATTTGACTTTCATATTAATGATTGACTGTAAAATAGTTGCTAGGCATGTCATAAAGTGGGTAAATGCTCTCTTTTTCCTAAGGAATAAGACGTACATACCATAAAGTGCACAATCTCAAACTTACAACCAGATGAATATTTCTTTATTTTACTTATGTATACACCTATGCTACCACACCCAGATTAAAATATAAAGCATTTTCGGTGTCCCGAAAGGTTCCCTTGTACCCTTTCCAGTCAGTACCTCCCTGAGGTCAACACAAAGTGAGTAAGTATTATCACAGTAGAAAAAAAGCATCTATATTTAGGCTCAAAATTCTAAAAGTTTGTTTCAATAGCATTAAATACACAGAATATCTAGGTTGGGACTTCAGATTTTTGATTGCTAGTATGCCAAGCTAGTGTGGAAAAATTTAAAGTCTAAAAATCTTGTTAGATTAACATTTTGTTTATGTGATGTATTTTTTTTTAAAGCAATAAAACTCTATTACGCTAGAAGATATAATTTGGAAAGAAGCTAGGCTAAAGCTTCTTTTTTTCACAGTGTCTACTAAAAAGCGTGAGGTGTTCTTGTTTTTTCATAATCAAACTATTTTAGGACCCAAAATGGTACTTAAGAGAACAGATTTTCAACCTTTTGAAAAAACTCTAAGAGAGATATCTTTAACTAGAAATTATTTTCCTGTTCATTAGAGAAAATCCACAGGAACCTGTATTTAAGAGTATTTGAATTTAAATTTTTATCTCAGTTCCAGGCAACTGGATGTGTACTTTCCCATTTTTAAATTAATGAAGTTTTTCCTAGTGAGTTCTTTATACTATAGCAGAGTGGTAGAAAAGTCTAGGTGGTGACAAATATGAGACTTAACTGATATTTATTTTTAATCCAAAAGACGCTGTATCTTTTTTGAATAGTTGTACTTGATTACCAACTCATTCTGTCTTTCTGTCTTATTCAATACCAATTCCATTTTACTTTTTACTTGTTTAGAGCACCTGTTATATCTGTTTCTCACTAATTAAAAGTAACTTTAAGGACTTATTTGTAAAGAGCCATGGATCGGTACAAAAATAAAGTTAGTAAAACAACTGTTACTACTTTGAACACATTTTGGTGGGTCTTCTAAAACTCATTATGGTTTGAAAGTTAAGAAAACCACTCTTGGTGACTACAGTTTAGTGGAATTGAGATAAAGAGAGGTAACCTTTTCTGAAACAGTGTTAAACTACCCAGTTTCTCATACTTAATCTCTTGGAAGCACATGGTTGGGAGGGGGCTGTACACCAATCTAAAATACATATTGAACTTCTTCTGCAGAGTCAGTAGAACTTTACAGAAGAAGGGTTCAAGCTCCTGTACTTTTACCAAAAAAGAGTTGTTTTTAAAACAGATGATCTGATAAAACATGCTATGTATCTCTCATTTTAAGTATTAAAATGAGAATTGATAGTATGAGGGGAGACAGAATAAACCCTGGAATTTATTTATAAAAAATTGTGTATTCTTACATGTTTAAACTTCAGTCACCTTCCAGATACTCTCCATTTGATGCAATACATCCATCGAGATGCTTTTTCCACTGCTCGGAATAGTTTTTGAACTTGTCAGTTTTGATGCCTGTTAGTGCTTCTGTTGTTGTTTTTTGTTTCACATCTTCCACATCAGCAAAATGTTTCCCTTGGAGGACTTTTCTCATCTGGGGAAACAAAAAAAGTCTCAAGACATGATTGGGTAAATAGGGAGGGTGGGGCACAGGGGCCATCAATTTTTGGTCAAAAACTGCTGAACACTCGGTGTGGTGTGGGCAGATACATTGTCATAGTGGAAGAACCAGTCACCTGTTTGCCACAAAAAAAAAAAAAAAAAAAATTCACTCAAGCTGAATGCAGCCTCTCACAGCAACACTAGTGGTCCACTGATGCTGATGGGTTTCTAGAACACTTACCTAGCAGAGGGAGCCTGTACTACAAGGGACCCACCCACTTTCCAAAAAGATAATCCCTAATTTTTGGAGTCCCCCTTATATACCATCTTTAGACTGTTTTGATGCATGCCAAAATAAATAAGTTTATCTTCAACATAGTGACTTTTTTTCCTTGCAGTTTGATAATATGAACGCCAGTTACTTAATCAGGATAAAATACAGTGATTTAATAACAATGCCAAAACAGCTAGGAAAATTACATTTTAAAATGTAACCACTACACTCCTGGATGCTAGGATTATCCCTGTCAATAGCTATATTCTTTCATGTATTGATGGCCCTTCATGTAACATGCAGCTCAACGTACAGTCACATTGATTTTATGTTCTGTGGTTTTATGCAAAAGTATTTTCACCAACTAAAGTGGAAATTCCTTGAGAATGAGAAGTAGTTTTATCATAGTTTTATCTCTAGCAACTAGAACAATGGTGATTATATTATTGAATGCCAATGTAAAAGGGCCAAAATCTAGAAAATATTATCAATCTCATATGTTGGGGTTAACTCTATTTTGATGAACATTTGAGGCAAATTATTTATGTACTGTCTGGAATCGTTCTATTTTCTGCCTAAAATATTTTATATAATGGAGTTTTGCTTAACAAAACTATTTTTATATCATGGCAAATGGCCCTTAGTAATTAGGGCTTTGTTAATTTGGCTTCAACACGTTCTACTAAATAGAAAAGTCTGTAAAATAGATGATCTGATAAAGTCTCGTATCGTAAGTCAGTTACTATTACTGGAAACAGTAGTTTAGTTCAATGTTTGACTTTTAGACATAACTGATTATAAACTTTTTGTCTGAATCTGCTAAACTATGTTTAATGCACTAACTTGATCTTATTTTTCCTTAGACCATCTGTGAGGCCAGAGTTTCAGATGCATGTTTGTAGCAGAAGACATTCTACTGTCTCATAATTTATGAATTTAATATTTTCTATGCCCTATATAGTATTTATCTTCACACTCTCCCCATGGAAATATGTGGGAAAGGGGTGTGAGCTGTCCAAGGTTGCATGGTTAGTATGTATCCGATGTGAGACTACTGTATTGCTCAGTTGCTATGAAGTCTTATCAAGTAATCTCATCCTATACCATGAACTTTCCTGCATATGTCACTTCTTTGTTATTTAGGGCTTCTCTAACTTGCTTTCCCATTCTCACACTGTTTTAAACCTTTTCCATTGTTTGGCAAACCATTTTTTCCTCCTCCTTCCACAGCATATGACTCCTACTTCCTAGTTTGAAGTAGAATCCAGGGTCATCTGGCTGAGCAGAGATTGAGAAAAATGCTTAACAATACTGCAGAGAGTGTTTAGTCTTTTTCAATGCATGATAGAGCTGGTAAGTAAGAAAACTCCTCCAAGACCAGAAACCACAAAAAAATAAAATAAGTGAATTCAGAATGATAAAATACCACACAGAAGTTTGTCTTTGGGATGAGAGTGGTTATCAGCTAATTTC